ATTATATACAGTGGATCAACGTTGTGTTAGCATCGAGAAAAAGCAGATATACAAATATATATTTATATAATTTAAAATAATTATTTTTCATCCAACATTTCAGTTGATTATGGAATTATATTTTGCCAATATACTTTTCTCTTTCTTATACAACAAAACATTAAGCCACAAGCAAAACAAACGTGAATGTGTCTTTAATCAGATGCTTTGTAATTCATGATATTCATCTGAGCGCCGAACGTCCGCAAAATTTTATATCCGCCATGATGGGTGGCAAAAAACTATAAACAAACTAAAGTCGGCAAAATTAGATCCGTAAAAAATGATTAGGTTGTAGCTTTCTTACCAAACTATGCCATATCCGAAGTATAAAAATGCTTTATTTATAAGTATTATAGGATATTATAATAAAAATTAGCAGTTTTGATTAATTTAGACTCGTATTAATTATCAAAAGACTGTACGATTAATTAATTCTTACAGGCAAATAGCCTAATCTCACTTTACTGATATATTTTATCTAATATGTTATCTTTTTAAATCAGTTCACAAACTCTAGTTTTAAATTCTAGAAACGTCTTAAATCTTACAACTTTGTAACCTGTTGTCTGGTTCATAGCATTCCTTTTAAACTTATTTTTAATCAAGATAATAAACAAGTTAAAACAAGGTCTATGGTCTATATTTACAGTAACTGGTCGTATAGGTCAGAGTACTTTTTCTAAAATCCTAATGAATTGATGGATTAGCTTTCAAGAAACTTGAGAAATTATAAATGCAATTCAGTCTTTCCTCCGGCAAGAGCGGCATTTTACTACATGCAAAACTATATTACAATAATTTTGAGTATCTGAAAATCAATCAATAATATATTTTAGATTATAATTCTTACATTTAAGGATATACTTTAACAAATTTAAAATAATAAACACAATATTTATTAAAAAAAACTGATGTTATTAAGATTATAAAAATAACAATAAAAATAATAACAACAAGGTCAGGGGCACACAGAGTCTTTATGATGCACAGGGTAGATAATTGAAAATTTACTAGATGGCCTTAACTCTTATATCTTAAAAATAACAATAATAAGACTAATAAAGTACTTCTAGTAATTTTCGTCGTCTAATAATCCTGAATCTTCCACCCTATGTGCACCTCTGAACAATGTTCACAATATAGAGTCTTATCTGTTCTAACTCAAATAAAGTAAGAAACTTTTACAAAAAAGAACGAGAACAGTTAAAGTCATGAACTTATACAACTTTTGAATAAAATATTTTCAAATTTAAAAATAACATAAAAATATTTTTAAATAAAGACATCACTAAAGATGAATTTAAATAATTTCAGCACTTATAAAAATAAAATCTTAGGTTAGCCAGAATACTTTGTATAGAACATTTCGAATACTAAAAAAACTTTTCAGGGCTCGGTATGAAATTATATTTTATTTTTTTAGTAATACTAAGTTTATCTAAACCTAGAGTGTTGTTTTTATCAAATATTAAAACCATTTAAAATATTTTGCTTTTGCTGCAAAAAATATTCAAAGCAACCCCATTTGCGAGGTAACTTTGAATGATTAAGTAAATAAATATTATTCCTAATCCTTTGATTTAAACATTATTTTAAAGTTGTGTTTTTTAAGAGCCTGTCATAGCTCTTATATGCATAATAAAATAATTCAAATATTGTCAATAGTGAAAGAAGTGCATATAAAAATGTCTTTTAAAATTTTATATGTTCCTTCTTCTATCTGATTATCAAACCTTTGTTTTTATTGATAGTTAATTTTTGTAATTAAAAAATGCGATTTTTCCCCGTTCATCAATTGCTGCCTTGCTGTCTTCATTAAGTTTTGAACAGCTGTAAATTTACATGTTACAACTAAGTTGTAAACTGAACTTTGCTATCTTCATTAAGTTTTAAACTGAACGTCGTTTTCTTGATTTCATTTTAAAATGAACTTTGCTGTCTTTGTTACGTGTTGAAGTGCAGTGTTTGCTGTCATCATGAAGTTTTAAACTGAACCTTGATGTTTAAAGTTTTAGTTATAAACTGAATTAAGCTGTCTTCATTTAGTTTTAAATTGAACTTTGCTGTATTCATTAAATTTTAAACTAAATTTTTTAATTTCTTGATTTCATTGTTTAGTTCTTATAATTTTGGCAGTTTTCTCAGATTCTTTGACAATTAAAAAAAATTCTTTTAATCAGCTGTTAATATTATTTTCTTCAATGAGCACTTTTGGTAGATCTCTTGTTCAAACGATTTGATGTATTATATACAATAAATTTCTTTTACTTTTTATATAAAGGCGTTTAATCGAGGAAAAAAAGTCACCATGGTTTTTATCAACACTTTTTCTTCGAAGCTCGAGTGTTTATGTGTAAAGTTCACAATTCGGCTAAACTAAAGTCTTTCTTTAAAACCGCTTGTCATAACGTCCATTGTTCTTCTTTTTTTTTTGAAAACTTATTAAAATATTATTTATTTAATTTTTTTTTTTCGGATATATATAAACTAAAATAAAAAATAAATTTAATTCCGACAAAAGTTAGATATAAGGTTGTACAAACGTAAAATGTAACGTTGAATCATGGAAGTATAAAACCGATGGAAGTTCAACGGCATCGAAATGCTTCGGGACTATGCTTGTAACCTCTTGCTTCGTAAACGACATCAAAACTGCTCTAAAACGTTTATTCTTTATACGTTGACGCAAATAGGTTCGTATATAATAATTTAAAAATATAGTATTTGGACGGTTCGCTAACAATATTCAAGTATAAAAGTTAAAAATGACGTAACGAAACGGCAAACAATAACTTTTTTATAAACTCCATATTAAATAGATGGTGTATTACAAGAATGAATAGAATTATGATATACAGCTAATGAAACTTGAAGCTTTAGTAATTTTTAAAACATTTTGTTTTAATTTTTTAAAAATTGTTTTAGTTGTCTTTTTAATCAAGTGTCGTATTATGATTTGAAACATGAAAAAAAGCTTAAACTAACATACGCTTTTAAAATAAAGTGATTCTATTTACTTACCGAGTTTTAATAAACCTTTCGTTGAATAATTACAATAACTAATGGTTAAAACTATGTAGCGTATCCTTAAAATAATTCATTTTTTATTGTTTTAATAAAAATCTTTTCAGCGAATTTTGTTGCTTTTGTCCATTTTTTTTTTTTTTTTTTTTTGTTATTGTTGGTTAGATGCACACTCCTGAGATGACTTGAAATTGCTTTGATGTTTGCGGCTTGATGAACTTCCATGGTTGAACCAACTTAAAATACGTTTCGCGTAAAATCTAATGTTGAATCAACGTAAAATATTACGCAAAATAATATGCCGACTTAAAATAAACATATTTTAAGTCGGCATATTATGGTTGTTGGCGACGTCGCATTTGTAATCAAAATGATATAAAAAACGTTTGCAGTTGATGTTGGGCCAACGCAACGCAGAATACTGTTCTGACGTTTTATCAACGTATGCGTGCTAGCTGGGAATACTTATTAAAACTTATAGCCGATAGATTATGTACGCAAAATTATTACATATTTATATATTTTAATTGTTTTACTTAACTTCGTTAGAAAATCAAAATCAGTAAGCATTGAAAGTTCTATTGGTAATTCGAATAACAGAGCAGCAAACAGAATAGAATTTACTTCTAATGCTTAACCAACATTATAAGTAAAGTATCGTCACGGCGAATTTACGTTTGACATTATGCACACGTATTGAATTTAGTTGTTACTGATGCAACTAGTTTAGTTATTTAAAAGAATTTCCTTTATTTCAATTACTCTTGAGCTGCATTTCTAATAAAAGCTTACCAACGCAAAGACGTTTACGGAGTCACCAGTTAAAAAAAAAAAAAATTATTGGAAACTTTTTGTTATGAAACAAGAGACACCAAAAGAAACAGCACTTAAATTTATTACTATTTTTTTTTTTTTTTTTTTTGTGGGGGGGGGGGGGGATTATAACAACAGAGAAAATTCATTATACGTAGATTTATTGACAACTTTTAATTGATTTGCGACTAATATATTTTTTAATGTTCAAAGATATGATATAAATAATGTTCAGATATGATATAAATAATGTTTAATAATGTAAATAAAGATATGATATAAATAATGTTTTTAATGTTCAAATATATTGATATAAATAGATATAAATTGATCTCAAATTTGAAAATATTGGAGCCAAGGCCGGAAATCAGTAGGAACTACCGGTTTTTTATAGTCGAAGCTCTGCATTATTCGGTATAACGATTATAACGTTTAAGCGTATTTGGTATAACGATTATAACGTTTAAGTGTATTCGGTATAACGTATACAATTTTTTTTTTTTACAGAGATTAGTTTACTTAACAATGTAGAACTTTTTAATATAAATATTAAGAAAGCTAAAAGTAGTTAATTACACGTATAAAAACCACGAAACATAAAATTAAAAAACCACCTAATAAAATTGAATTACCAATAAAAACATAAAATGGGTTTGTACAATATATGAAAAAATAAAGCTAAATGTAAAAGGGGAAGAAAAAATTTCTTTAAATGAAATTTAAATTTTTTTTGTTTTTGTTTTTTTAAAATAATATTCGTAAAATTAAAAAAAAAGTCCCACTAAAAGTATTATTTAAATATTTTAAATATATCGTTGATTGTCATTTAATTTTTTGTCAGACTCAAGCCAACACAATTCAAACCGCTCTTCTCGTAAATAAAAATTACCTAATACTTATGTCTGATTTTCATTTTTAATTAATAGAATCCTCAAATTCAGTATTTTTAGCTAACATCTTATTTAAAATTAAAGAAAAATCTTTTTCAATTTTAAGATATAAAACCTAATAAATTCACGGTAAACGACTTTAAAAAACCCCTACGTTCTATTTAAAAAGCTTAAAGAAAAATAAATTTGAGTGTTAACACTGCTTAAAGAAAAATATGGTTCAAAAACACATTTTGTTAAAATAGTTTTCCACATCTAAAAAAAAAAACTTTCAACAACTTTGTCATCTTTAAATTATTTACGGATTACTTGCGAATGAACTCGATTCCTGTATTAGAAAATAAATATTTTTAAAAACAAAAATAACAGTTTATGTTAATTATTAAATCTGATCCGATATTATATCAGATTATAAAACCGATTGTCTTAAATACAAGAAAAAAATTCGTTAGTAAATTTTTTTTTAATCAAAAAATTAAATTATTAACAAGTTAGCTTTTGAAAATAAAAAACAATTTTATAGAGAGAAAGTGATTTATATAAATAATAATGATAAAAATATGAATATACAGACTTTAAGAAATAATTATTTTTTTGCTTCGTTTTTAAAAGGAAAAGCTTTTTTTTGTTAAGTTCTTTTTTTCATTTCTTTCAAAAGAGAAAATAAAATAAAATAAAATTAGTACAGCAGTACCAACAATTTCAACTCATAAGTTCTACTTAACCTTCGAGACAAAGTGTCTCATCTTGTTTCGAGGGTAATATACGGTAATATAATAAGTAAACACAATCAATGAAAAATCAAATTCAGTCTTTTTAATCTTCTTTACTCAGTCTTTTCAGTCTTCTAACTTAAAAGACTAAATAAAGAAGACTAAAAAGACTGAAATTATTCAGCTTTTTAGTCTTCTTTATTCAGTCTTTTTATTGCTATATGCTTATATGGTAAACTTTGCGGAATTTTTAAAATACAAATTTTGATTAGTTTTACTTTTGCGGTCTGAACATTTAGGAAATATACAATTTCAATAACAAGAATTTCCGTTTGGCATCTAATTATCTTGCTAATACGAAGACATTCAACATTTGTTTATCTTTTTGTGTATATCTACATAAGACTTGTTTATCTTTTTGTGTATATCTACATAAGACTTGTTTATCTTTTTGTGTATATCTACATAAGACTTGTTTATCTTTTTGTGTATATCTATATAAGACTTGTTTATCTTTTTGTGTATATCTACATAAGACTTGACTGCACAAGTAGAACGAGGAAGATGAGAAGTCACCGGGGAGTTGAACTTTTAAGTTGAAATTTTTGCTGCAGCTGTATTTTTCCACTTATTTTCTTCATCTTTTTAAAAAGAATGTAAAAAAAAAAAAAGAGAAACTTTTTAAAAAGAAACTTTTCAAAAAAAACTTTCATAAAACAAAGTTTTTAAAACTATTAGCTTTTTTTTAAAGTTTCTTGAAATTGCATCAAGTAATGAGAGTGACAAAGGGGAGATTTCTAATCATTAAAAACAAAAATGAAAAAAATTGCAAATACACCAATGCCTTTTTCATGAATTACCAAAAACAAAAAAAAAATCGACAGAACAAATACAACAACCTACTGCAACTTGTGTTAAAATTCGTTAACAATTGAACATAATGGTATAATGGTATAAAGCACAATATAAAGTATTAAGCACAAACGATCATTCGATAAGGATAAAATAGATTCTAGCAACAAGCTGGAATCTATTTTATCCTTACTGGATAAAATAGATTCCAGCTTGTTGCTGGAATATATAACTAAATCTGAAGGATACTTTTGGTATGCTTACTTTTAGTCGTGCAGTTTTAACAATTGTATAGAGACTATAGTTGGATTAAGATCAAGGAATTTGCTAGGTCATTTAAAAAATTATATATTTTTAAAGGTCATTTAAGTTTTGTGATGTTATTTTCTATCACAAACTTCTTGATTTTTTGGGACATGTATAACATGTAGCCAAATCCTAAAGGAAATATTTCTGTAAGAAAACAATTTCATCATTACTGTTAATTGAGTTTGTAGAACTTTGCTTTAAGTTTTAGAGTTCATCATTTCAGTAACTGGTTAGAGTGTTTCTTTCCAACAGCAGAAAAACAACTCCAAAATATGTACTATTTTGGATGCTTGACATGCTGTTTAATATGTCAGGTTCATATTAACTTACCAGCAGAATGATGAACAAACTGTGAATGCTGGCCTTGCACTTCAATATGTAAGTCACCATAAAATAAAACCAGTTGACAGTTAATAAGTGTATTGTAACTCTACTTTAGCTAGAAATAACCATTAAAGAAACAGTTTCAATAATGAAGTATGATTATACGAATAAAATAGGAGTATAATTAACAACTGTGCATTGTATCTAATCTTTCTATTTCTTTAGTTTACTTTTTGTGTTTTATTTCCCACAAAAAACACTTCTTCATTAAAAATGTAAGTAACTACTTCTTATAAAATTTTCTAGCAAACAACACGTCTACTACACCATTTCCCATTCACCATTTTGAATATGGTCAAGCTGGGATTTTATGATTCTCTTTTGCATCAGATACGGATCATATCTCTCTAAGATCTTTTGCATATAACTGTCTTGATGGTAAAAAGCTGTCAGTGGCAATATAATACTTCCTAACACAGTTAACTGGTTTATTAAACATAATTTGACTATTTTCCATTTTCGATTTATCAGAATACTGAAGCAAAGTTAACATTTTAGATATTCTTTTTTAGGTGTTGTGTTTATCTTTGTTTATGTACTTTCTATTTATTCATTTTATACTTGCAATCATAGTTAAATCATAAAAAACAAGGAGTAAAACAACAATAAAAAAATTTGATGCTAATAATTTTTACTCTCTGTATGTGCGAGTGTATAATCTACTATTATACAATAATCAATTACAAAATAATTTAATAAAGTATTTATATATTATTAAATTATCAGTATATTAATAAATATTAGTATATTTTTATTATTAATTTATTAGTATATATCTAATAGTATAATAATTAGTATATTTTTATTATTAATTAGTGTATTAATAAAAAATAAAGAGTAAATGAATTTACTTTTGATTGCTGAGTAGCTTCATAGCTGCTGCCATTAATGGACTTTTTCCTAAAACACAAGATAACATTCAAACACAAGGTATTTTAAAGTATGAATAAAAACTAGGATTAACTAGACTAGAAACAATAACTAGGGTTGTAAAAGTATGTAGTTGACAATTCACATTACTTTGTCTGAACTCGTAACCCTAACAGTGTTATATTTAACATAAAAAATGGTCATAACGCCTATTGTCTTGTGAACATGATTTGAAATTAAACACTTAGTGCCTCATTATGATTTGAAAATAATTCATTTGATGGTAACTCTATTTAATAGAATTCATAGCATTACACCATATGTTAGCAAGTTTTTCAAAACTTGTGATAAAGGTCTGTCTCTTCTTTAAAAATTGTCTTACTTCACAGAAGCTAAACAAAAACTTTCCACTTGCAGTGAGAGCAATAAAAGATTATAATACTTTTATTATCATGATAATTAACATACAAATAACATATATGCTTGAAATATTTATTTATATTTATATATGTCATATTTTTAATGTTAAACAGACACATATTATTACAAGTTTTCGATAAAGTTGAAATGTAAATGTTTATTTCAATAAATAATAAAATTTTATGTTAAAAAAAGTGCTCCCATTCAACAAATTTATGGATTTTTAATTGCACTTTTTTTTGTCAACATTTCTAATCAAAAACTGCACTTGCACTAAATAATGAATTTGAAAAAAAAATTTACCTTTTTTCTTTACATGTTTTAGTCGTGAAGGTCCAACTGCAACGTTTTCTGATTGACTATTTGTTGAGGCAACTGAATTATGATTTATAGTACATTTTTCTTTACGACGAACTTTAACAAAAGGCACAGCTACATCAGCTTCTTTTTCACGTTGCTTTTCAATACGCTCTATTAAAATGAAATCTTTGTTAATAAAAAGTTCAAAATTGCTTTTTTAAATAAATATCTTCACCTTTCCAAGGCCAGGAGGGCAACAGCTATAACCTAGGAGGCTTTAGTTTTTTTTAATTATAATCCTCAATATAATTATGTTATAATGTCTTATAATTAAATATAAAGTAATAAAATAAATTAAAATGTTTATAATCCTTTCTCAATCCTAACTCTAAAATAAACCTTGATGAGAAAATTGTTTCTATGGAAAATTATTTCAAAGCAAACTTGTTTCTATGGGCACTGTGCAGAGAAACTTGTTTCTATGGATACTGTGCAAGAAAATTTGTTTCTCTGTGTCCATAGAAACATGATGAATTTTGCTTACAATACAATCTTTTTTACTAAGAACCTTTTGCTTAAAATCTCTTTTATTAACACTGTTGCCTTTAAGGAGATTAATGTCAATTGTCATGTAAATTATTATTATTTACATGTCAAATGATAAATTATAGTATGCAGAGCTTTTGCTCTGTACTTAGTTTTAAGCTACTCTGTTAACTTTATTTTACCATGTTTTTTTATATCACATAAATGGTTATTGACATTTTTTATCCAGATTTTGAACTAAAATTATTTTGTGTTTTTTTTAAAAAAAAAAAAATGGACTAATATAGATTTCTTAACCATGTCTTCAGAGTTTTTCTATTCTTAGAATAAAATCTACTACATTAGAGATAGATTTTTCTCATAAAAGCAGATGCCAGTAAATAGTAAATTTACTAAACATTTATATTACTTTGTAAACATGTGGAATATATAAAACATTAAACTTAAGTGACACCCTTCAACTAATAACTTAAACAATTCGCTGAGATTTTAACTGACACTGATTCGCTGAGATTAACATTAACTGACACTGATTCGCTGAGATTAACATTAACTGACACTGATTCGCTGAGATTAACATTAACTGACACTGATTCGCTAAGATTAACATTAACTGACACTGATTCGCTGAGATTAACATTAACTGACACTGATTCGCTGAGATTAACATTAACTGACACTGATTCGCTGAGATTAACATTAACTGACACTGATTCAAATTCATCTAAAATAACATTCTCAATAAAGCTGTTAATTAATTATAGCTGACTCTAGCGGACATCAAATTGATGACAAAGTATGATAGAAATAGATAGAACAGATAGAAAGAAGTTTTTGTTAGATAAAATAGTTCAGATAAAATTCATATTAATCAAGTCAAAATAAGTTCTACATTCCAGAGTCTAGTGTCTAGTAAACATGTTTTTGCATATAAAATATATTTAAGAAACTCAAATGCTTAGTTGAATGCGTAAATTTGCTAATTTCACAGGCTTTTAGTTGCACTATATATTTAATATAAACAAAATATTTGAAATCTTGAAGAAGTAGAAGTGCAAAAGTTCATAAAATTATGTGACAGTTTAAGTTCAATATTATTGTTGTTATCAACTTCGAACATCTTATGTGACAGTTTAAGTTCAATATTATTGTTGTTATCAACTTCGAACATCTTATGTGACAGTTTAAGTTCAATATTATTGTTGTTATCGACTTCGAACATCTTAATCCAATTCTTAATCCTTAATTCTTAATCGAACATCTTAAAATTAGTTGACTTTGAAAAATTGAATTACTGATTTAATCTACTATGGATTTCCTACTAAAACTAATAGACTATAGATTTTCTACTAAAACTAATCAACTATAGATTTTCTACAAAAACTAATCAACTATAGATTTTCTACTCAAACTAATCAACTATAAATTTTCTACTAATTGCCTAAAAGTCAATTTAGTTGAGTAATGATCTTAAAATCCTTATATCTTATTGTTCAATTTAGTTTCTTTAATTTATAACTTTTGTTAGTTGATTTAATAACATGTAATAAAAGTAATTAATAAAAGTATTTAATAACAAGTAATTAATAAAAAATTTAATAACATGTACAATTAATAAAAGTAATAATTGTAATAATAGCATGTACTATTATAACTAATACATACTGTTATTTGTTTACTAGCTTGGAACCCTTGGGTAAAATAAAATCATGAAGCTCCAAAATCTAAATGTCATCTATACAATATTATTGTAAATTAATTTGAATAGAATTTTATTGTATAGATATTTAGTAAGTATTTAGGGCGGTCATTGGGCTAAATCACTGGGGTCTGGAAATAAATTGTGCCGCTTTCAGAGCAGCCTCATTTTGTTTTGCTTTATCATTATTAAAATGAAAATATAAAAAACAAAAATAAATTATTTTTATTACACTTTCTTTCATAGAAAAAATTTATTCCCATATTTCGACTAAATCAATTTTTAGTCTACCTATATAGTCGATTTCAAAAATGTATTAGTCAATTTTAGTCGAGTTTAGAAAATATATTAGTCAATTTAGTTGACAATTAAACTATTTACAAGTTGTAAAAACACTATTCAATATTTTTGTCAACTATTGCTTTACTTCATATTAGTTCCAAAACATTAATAGCATAAATTTAATAATCTGTTTTTTTATTTATTCATTCTCTCACCTTGCACTTAATTTATTTCTCTACTTGCACTATATGCAAACCTAAATGCTTATGATCAAGAACTAAACTGCAAATATTATGAAATGGGTAGCAATTCTTTGTTCACAGAAACCATATGCATTAGAACCTTTTGTATAACTTTTGGATATCAAGAATTTTCATCAGTTTCTCTATCTGTGATGCCCATAAAAGTTAAACATTTCCAATTAAACTTTTCGATTGTTCATCGTCACATGTAGTTCATTTATTTACTGTAAGTATTTTTGAATCATGCTTCCTAAAGCGAATCTTTTACTAACATTCTACCATTTGTACTTAAAAATTGCATAAGCTGACAGAAACAACTTATACTTCTTAGCTTCCACTACCCTAATAGTAGCTAACAAAAAATGGACATTTTTCTTCTGGTATTAAATTGTGCTTTAATATTTTACCTTTATTTGTATACTAATGATATCAGATATCTATATACAAAAGTTCATTTTAAATTAAAACCTTTTCATTGTTTTGAATTAAAATAATTGAAGAGTGCTTATTGAATTTTTTCAGTTAGCTTTGAAGCTTTATTTTTCCTAGTTTTGGAATCACATAAAATTTTTGTTGCTTTGATGTAATAAGAAATATTTGTTCACTTAATTCAAGCAAGTGTGTTTGTTCTCTATTTTTTGCTGGCTTGTTGATTATTGTTGATTGTTGAGCTGATTATTATCAGCTCAACAAGCTGATAATAATCAGCTGATAAGATAATCTATTTTTTAATCTTGTTTAAACAACTGATTGTGCTATTTATACTGTTATCTGCAACTGTAACTTGAATGATTATTCTGTTGATCTTTTTATCAACAGATAATACATCTGAAGCAATATTGGTTTGCAACTATTCTTTGTTTATCTTTTTACTAAAACTATTTTTAAATCTTTCAATTTTATTTGAGGTAAATGGTTCTATATGTGGTTCTGTTTTTTTAAAAAAAAAAAAAAAAAAAAAGGTCTTGCACTTTTTTTAGTCAATCATGCTTTGATTTGTCCATATATGGTTTAAAGTTGTCCATATATGCAGTGGTGTACACTGGATTTTTAGATGTTTGAGTTTTGACACTTACACGCATTGTGCAAACTCCAAACTTTTGTATGTTCATACTTATGTCAAATGAGAATGTTTTGCAAAAAGTTGTGGTGATTGGAGCTTGGGGACAAAAAAAACCCAATTTCAGGCCCACCCAGCCCTTAATGTGGGAGCAACAAATTGATAAAATATTTTTTTTAGTATTTTTATCTAAGATTATATTCATCAACAAATTTCAAATTTCATCCAATAATTTCTTACTTTTAGAAAATTATGACCATATAAAGTTTTAACCCCCCTCAATTTGAGGGGGCTGTAAACTTTGAGGTTTTGAGGTTTCTGCTAAAAATGGATACTGCAAAAGCAATACAAAATTTAGTTATTATTCAATGATATAACCCCCCTCAATTTGAGGGGGCTGTAAAAAGGTTATTGCATGAAATTTGAAATTTGTTGATGAATATAATCTTAGATGAAAATACTAAAAAAATTATTTTATCAACTTGTTGCTCCCACGTTAAGGGCTGGGTGGGCTCGAAAATTTATCACAATTAAAAGTAAACTGAAATTTTTTATATGCAACCCATGTTTCTATTGCACAACATTCTAATGAAACCCTTTTTTTTGCATAACATTATTAGAGATTTTTAGTAACAAGATATTTCATTTAAAACAGTATTAAAAAATACATGTTTAGCAATATACATGTTCCTTTACATTTTACTGCATTGCTAATGGAGTTATTTTAATAAACGCAGGTTATTTTACTACATGCCTAATAGAATTAATCCTTGCGAAGAAATTGAAACTTTTTGATTTGCAACCAGGTGTTTTTATTAATTAAAAAATGCATAAAATGTAAAAAAAAAGTAGGTAACAACTTGAGGTAACAACTTGAATAAAAACAAGTTTATTTGTATGAAAACAAAATAACGATATAAAATAAGATATTAATTTTTTTCTATAACATATAAAATAAGATATTAATTTTTTTTTATTTCAAGTTTTTCAATTTTTCATTAAAAGTTTTTATCAATAAAAAAAATTTTGTTAACAGTTTTTATTAAAAAAAAAATTTTATTAACAGTTTTTCTTTCCCCTTTTAACTTTACAACCCTACAACTCTTAATTTAGACTTAAGATAGGGTTACAACCCTATCTTAAGTCTTTTACTCTGATACGGAAACCTTAATAAACAAAGCCGCTGCGCAGAGGAACAAGTTGAGCGCGACACTTCCATGGAAGTGGTGACGATTGAACTCATAACTTCTCTATTACAAAGTGAGTGCTATACCAATAGCGCATCTTAACAAGGTATAGCCATTTTATATTTCACTATTTATTTTAGCAAACAAAAATTGTTCTTACCTTTTAAGTCTAGTTTTGATTGACCAATACTATCTAAACCAGTACCGAACTTTTTTTGTTTTCTCATAACTTGAGCACTTCCTTTAGGTGTTCCAGCTAAATAAGCCAACTTCACTGACCTCTCAGGAGCTTTAGCAGCTTGAGAAATTGTAATCTTGGTACTTAATTTCTGGAGACGTTCTTCTCTTTCTATATTGAGCCTCTAAAAGCAATCCTCGTAGTTTTCCTTATGGAAAACTAATTACTTTGTTATTTATGTTATTTTTATATATATTTTTAATATAAATATGAATATTAGTAACATGAAAATTAAATATGAATTAAATATTTTATTAAATATATTAGTAACATGAAAATAAATGAACTTAAACATGAATTTAAATGAAAATTAAATAAATTAAAAATGAATTAAATATTTTTATGCTAAATAAAAAAATTATATGTAGAAGATGCATTATTAAAATAACCTTTCCTTATCAAACATGTTACGTTTATAGGTAATAGCAAAAATTCTAAAAGGTAGAAACAAATTATAACCACCTTACATGAAATAAATCTCTCCAAGATTCATTGGATTCTGGAACTTTTCCTTTAAACTCACGCTGAGAATGAATTTTCCATAATCTTTCAGATTCGTCCAAAAAATGCTGCAAATTAATTTTATAAATACATTAATTAACTAAAAAAGTGTTTAGATTTCTATTGACATTTAAAAAAATTAATTGAGCAGAACATATATAATATATATATATATATATATATATATATATATATATATATATATATATATATATATATATATATATATATATATATATATATATATATATATATAGTTATGGCCATTGAAATCCGACCACCAGTATCATTTTACTTAAACTTGTTTAATGTAGTAATAAACAATTGTATTATAGCAATAAAAGAATAAGAGTAGCAATTAATGATTATAATGTAACATATCGTACATATTTAATGTTTATATTAATGTTTTTTACTCTCAGGTTCATTGAATTTAATATTTAGTGACACTACCATGTGCTTTTAAGACTGCATTAATGCGATCTGGCATTGAATCCACGAGAGCCTGACAATATTCTAGCGTTATTTCAGCAATCCAAGCTTGACGAATTTTGTGCGCTAGATCGTCCAGTGATGTAGGATTAGTTCTGGATACTGCTAACTTTAACTTAACCCAGCAATTTTCGATTGGGTTCAAGTCTTGGGATGATCCCGGCCAAGGACCCAGAACCTGAACGTTGTGATCCTCTAACCAAGATTTTACAAGACGAGATTGGTGACACGGTGCACCATCATGCTGGAATATCTCGCAACACCGAATTTCCATCAAATTTGGAACCTTTTCTTAAAGGATTTTTAGATATTGTTGAGAGTTAACAGTCTGTCCCTTCTGCATTAAATAAATACCACATCGACCAGATGAAGCTACTGCGCCCCACACCATGATTGAAGGACATTGCTTGACAGCTGGTACGGTATACCTTGCATTAAAACGCTGATTAGGGGGTCGACAAACTACTGACTTATGCGGAGCGAATCGCTTTAGTGTCTCGTCGCTGAACATTACCTGGCACCATTTGGTTATTGACCAGTGTCTGTGAGCTCTACAAAATGCGATCCTTTCACGGATGTTCTTTAAAGACATTCGCAGTTTGAGGGCTGGACGATGAGAACGTAGACCTGCATCTTTCAATAAACGTCTTCTAATTGTTCGAGTGCTGACTGTAACGTCATTAGGTAGATCTGCCCTGATTTGTGTGCTGGATATTGTTGGATCTCTCACAGCAGCCCTGCATATCATATTGTCTGTTTGTTTGCTAGTAATTCTAGCTTTACCAAAATGTTTTCTTGGCGCAGTGGATCCTGTGTCTTTGATTAGTTGTATAATATCATGAACAGTAGATTTTGGCATTCGCAATCTTGCTGATATCTGACGCTCACTTGCACCGTCCTCCTATAAAAGTTTAATATTAGCACGAACACCTTCCTTCATAGTCATCATTAAATTGTGACAGTTGAATGATAATCCATACCCTACAATGAGATATATAGCTTAATAAATTTTACAGTGCAATAAAATAAACGCTAATGTGAAAAAGGGAAGAAAATAAATTGATTATTTGCGTGCATAGACTGTTTTTCTCTATATTCAGCAGTGGTTGGATTTCAATATATATATATATATATATATATATATATATATATATATATATATATATATATATATATATATATATATATATATATATATATAATATATAGTGCTCGAAATAACGGCCGATCAATGATCTGCTATTTTTAAGGAAATTCAAGGGAAAATAACCTGTTTTTGTAAAAAAATTACATTTGACCGGCAAGCTTTGAAAAACTATTTCGATTACTGTGTGTATATATATGTATAAAAAATTATTCTGGACTTGTTTTTTAATACTTTTTTAAGTAAACAGAGTATGGTAAAATTTTTTGGATAATCTCCATGGGTAGTATGTATGTATGTATGTATGTATGTATGTATGTATGTATGTATGTATGTATGTATGTATGTATGTATGTATGTATGTACGTATGTATGTATGTATGTATGTATGTTTATATATACATTATATATATATATATATATATATATATATATATATATATAATATATATATATATATATATATATATATATATATATGTAATATATATATATGTAATATATATAATATATATATATATATATACATATATATATATATATATATATATATATATAATATACATATATATGCATATATATATATATATATATATATATATATATATATATATATATATATATATATATATATATATATATATTATATATATATATATATATATATATATATATATATATATATATATTAGGGTGGGTCATAAAATTTTTTTTTTAGAGTTGCTAACCTGGCTATGGTCTAGAAAGTTGTTTTTTATGTACTAATTTAGGAAAGTATTTACTTTTATGGATTGAACAATGTCTTCCACCCACAACTATAATTACAAAAATTAGCAGGCCCTATTATTATTCAAAAGAAAAGCTTTTCAAAATTATGTGATGTAGGTACTCAAATAAAGCAAAATTTTATAAAAACTTCAAAAATAATAATTTTTTCATATATAAAGTTATTATTTTAGATTTTATTGCATAATAACTATAGTTTTTTAACTAAAAGTGAAAAAGTTGCATTTTTACATGTTTTTTAAAAACAATTTATTTCAGCATTATGATTTTTATAAATTGATTAATATTTTCGAATTTTTTATAAAATTTCGCTTCTTTTGAGTACCAGGTTGACCTACTTTTGAAAAACTTTTTTTCTCCAAAATATTAGGGTACCGGTAATTTTCCCAATAAAGTTGCGCCCTTCAAATCTATCACAATCATTTTCATATTTGATAGTATCAATAATAATAACTATTAACAATGTTTAGAGCCTGTAACAAGAAAAAAAAAATTATGACCCACCCTAATATATATATATATATATATATATATATATATATATATATATATATATATATATATATATATATATATATATATATGCAGGCAAGAATCTTAATAGTGTGTCACCATCACTTGTAAATCAAAGGAAAATAAAAAAATACACAACTTTTGATTTTCAAAGTTCTTACAGGATTGTACTCTTCTAGTCTTTGAAGCTCACTAGGAGAACATCTGGAAAAAAAAATTATGAAACTCACAAAAAGAACATCAGGAAAAAAAAAACTATGAAGCTCACTAGGAGAACATCTGGAAAAAAAAATTATAAAGCTCACTTGGAAAACATCTGGAAAAAAAATTATGAAGCTTATTAAAAGAACATCTGGAAAAAAAAATTATAAAGCTCACTAGGAGAACATTTGGAAAAAAAAATTATGAAGCTAACTAGGTAAACATCTGGAAAAAAAAATTATGAAGCTCATTAAAAGAACATCTGGAAAAAAAAATTATAAAGCTCACTAGGAGAACATTTGGAAAAAAAAATTATGAAGCTAACTAGGTAAACATCTGGAAAAAAAAATTATGAAGCTCATTAGAAAAACACCTGGAAAAAAAAATTATAAAGCTCACTTGGAAAACATCTGGAAAAAAAATTATGAAGCTCATTAAAAGAACATCTGGAAAAAAAAATTATAAAGCTCACTAGGAGAACATTTGGAAAAAAAAATTATGAAGCTAACTAGGTAAACATCTGGAAAAAAAAATTATGAAGCTCACTAGGTGAACAACTGGAAAAAAAATTATGAAGCTCATTAGGAGAACATCTAGAAAAAAAAAATATGAAAAAAAATTCTCAAAAATAATTTAATTGCATAAAAATTTAAATAGTTAAATATACCAACATACTTAGCTAACAATGGCTCTAGAATAATAAAGGGAACACCACCAGTCTCATACAATGCTAAAAAATAATATTGTTTGTTATTAAATATTTGTTATTTAATATAAAATTCAAAACTTTTTTTTTTTGTGAAACTTTTTAGAGGCTGGTAACTAATAAAAACTTTTTTTCTTAAGATGTTTCCTTGTTTTAATTAACAAACAATACAAATCTAATACACAGTTAAATTTTTACAAAGTATATTTTTTGTTTATTAACAAAATGTTATAAAATCTACAAAAATTCAATAGATTTTGGCGATTCAATTTTCCATTAACTTATGGATCAATTTGAGTCTAATCTTCTTGAGAAACTTGAGCTCTAACCTTGATCTATATGATTATTAATTTGAGCCTAATCTTCTTGAAACATCTTAAACTTTTCATTTTTTATTTTTAAAAAAATTGTTTTTTTTTTATCAGGAAAAATCAGGAAGTCCAGTGCAAATCCTTTGTCCAAAAAAGTAGGTTTTTAAAAGGGATGGTTTCTTTTGAATAGTAAATGATCTTATTTGAACTCAAAATTCTTTTTCCATATGGCTTAACATTTTTTGGTGCTAATAAAAATCAATTTTTTTGCAACATCTGGACAATTTGTCAACCAATTCTGGAAATTTTTAAAATATTATATGCAATAATCACAACACATTTATACTATAAATATTCTTTGTAAATATTATCACTAGAAATGATACCTAATTATAATGAAAATGTATTCTGTATTCTGGATGTGTACTCATTAAATGTTGTGTTGAAAGTTACCTGAATTAATGTGTTCAGATCAAAATGCTTAACTACTTTAACGCTTGCAATTAAACTGAAGTAATAAATAAAACCATTAAAAACTATCTGGAATAATTAACAAAGCAAGAAAACAATGCCAGACCAGTGTAAACATTAAAGTTCGAAAACTAAGCACTAAAACTGCTAAACAACATTTAGTATTTGCCAGTAAGAGCCACTACACTCAAGTGTAGTGTCTCCTACTGTTATGCTGACACTCCTTAAGTAAGTATGGTACTCAGCTGCAATTTTACGGGGGTGTTACACCCCCCTCCACCTAAAGAAGGTGATTTTCAAGTTATAGTTTTTTATTTTACGAAGTTAGTCGGCAATTTGACACAATTCAGTCGGTTAAATTTATGTTTTAAAGCTAGTCGATACTATTGGAGTATTCATCCCCCCCCTTATTTTATTTGTAGAATCGCCACTGGTGGTACTAACAGGAGCATGGTGGAAAACTATCATTTATGTTATCATTATCATTAAGTAAATGTAAAAGTAAAATGTTATATTATCATAAAGTAATATTATAATATCAAAAAGTAAAATGTTATATTATCAAAAAGTAAAATGTTATATTATCATAAAGTATATTATAATATCAAAAAGTAAAATGTTAAATTATCATTAAGTAAATGCTCTACCACTACCACATCTAGAGCAAGTTAGAAAAACTATATTGACAAAAAAATCATCTAGAAATATGAATAGCTTAACAAGTAGCAAGTATATTGCAGTATTAAGAAATATAATAAATGAATATTATAAAAAAGTTTTTAAGTAAACCATTTTTATCTTTTTTTTTTCTTATCAAAAACATTAATAAATAAATTTTTGTAATCCTTGTAACTTTTAACTAACTTTTTAAAACATTTTAAAAAATAAAATAGATTTATAAACAAAAGAGAAAATTTAATTTAATTCTTATTTTTGAAATTTTGCTTTAGCTATCAAATTAAACAAAATAGAACATCAAAAATGAAAATTTCTGCTCCAAATAAAAATAATAACAAATAAAAAATGAGTTTGAACAAAAATAATGATATAAAATAAAAAAACTTTGCACAAAAATAATAACGAAATAACTTACAGTTAATATTTTCCATCAGCACTTTCATGCATAATTGATACAATGTCATCACAACTGAAAAAAAAAAATTACCAACTATCAATTTATGCATTTATTATTATTAAAAACATGAGTTTCTTTAGTTTTTTACTTTTAGAACTATTTTTGTAATTTTTTATTTTTATTTGAACAGAACAAACTGGTTTGTTTTATTATGTTATATAAGACATGCCAAGCAAAAAAAGTATCAAGTCTTAGGAATGTAGTTCTTCATATCACTGCAATAAGGGAATAAAAACAATACATTGTATGCCCAAGAGACCACCAAGTTTTTAGGCAGTGTCACTCAAATGATTCATTAAACAAAATTTGTCATTTTAAATAATTACACTTTTGAACAATTTTCTTACAAAGCAAAGTATCTATTTTTGATATTGTCTATATTTGCACAAACTTGTTGCTATTTTATTTCCTAATTTACTTTTAAATTTAAGCAAGTAAAACCATGGAAAATAATCTTTTAAATGATTTTTAACTTTTTCTGAAATGATTTCTTATTTCGCTGGATAATGATTGACCAACAATTACTGCACAATATTGTGATTGGTGAGATAATCTGATTGGTGAGATAATCTGATTGCTCAACATATTTTGTAGGAAATAATCCTTTATTTTAATCAAAACCACACAATATAAGGATGATTGTAAAGATATTCTTCTTCTTCATCTTCGTTTTTAATGGGTTTTTACTTATGCATCTATAAAAAAAACTCAAACTTTATTTTTTTATCAATATTAATAATGATTTTAATTTTTACTTTTTTTTTTTGGGCCTATTTAATCTAATTTTGCAATAAAAAAAAGTCATTAATTTATTTTATGGGAAACTATATATATGTAAATTTAATTATAAAAAATTAAATACTTGATTAAAACAACATCAAACATTTTGAGTTCGGTTTGAAGGGTGTTAACTTCTCGCAATGTTGCTTGATTTTAAATAATTTTGGGGATTTTGATAGGTGTATCACGATAAGTTACCAGTTCCACATAAATCGTTTTGTTTATTAATTTATGTTTTTATATATTCAATTTGGAGTTCCAGCCGGTAGTATTTGATAGCTGAGGCATAAGTCCTCCTTTTTCATGCAAGCATCTCTTAAAAGAAAAATTTAATAGTTACTCTTAAACTTTTATTTTTTAAGTTGAAGTTGAACAAACCACAATTACAACATAATATTTACATGTTAATGTGTATTGCAATAATACACCTACACCTCAACCATGTGTTTAATGACATCTGCTTGCAATACTTCTTATTCAAAAAGATTTAAACAATGTGCAGAACACCCACCACAGACATTTTTCTTTATTTAACTCCCTCATTTTTCTCTATTTAACTCCCTCATTTTTTCCAACTAATTTTCATTATCTGTCACTACTGCAAAATATTTTTTGTTGTATCTTATTTAAGATTTTTAATGAAATTACAAAGGAGTTTAATATAATGCTTGGCTTTTTTATATTTAATGCACAGTCAGTATGATGCACAATCAGTTGCATCATTGTGTTTATATTCTGTTACTATTATTTGAGAATTTTGAATTCATTATATTTTCTCACAAAATATTATTTATAAAGAGAGTTGCCAAGAGAGTTCAACTCTCTTGACAACTCTCTTATAATTACAATTTCTTATAACTACAAAGTTGTTAATAGTTAATTAAGAGTCATTAAAAACATAAACATAAATTACAATTGTGAAATAAAACACATTTCTCTGAGAACACATACAAAATTCATTTATGAACATAAGTAAAGTTATGCACAAAAGACTAAAGTCCATTATTTATTACAAGCATTTTCATGAAACTCTCCTCCAAGCATTTTACTGTTTGGTGGATTATATTCTGGTCTCAATGAATTATTTATGTTTATAAACTCTAAATTATTAGCTTTTTTAAAGCAATACGTTTAAAAAAACTTTTCTGCTTTTTTTATATAAATATTTGTTTTAATATTATTAATATAATATTATTTTTCTATCAAAAACATTAACTCGATATAAAATTTTCTTTTTTTCTATTGCAATTATCTTTCAAATTATTTTCAAAAAACTTGAAAAAATCATTTTGACATAACAAATATAAATTTATAATCAAACATATTTGGCGATAGAAAAACCCTGATTTAAACCGATAATTCCTATATAACCAAATAGCTCGTGCAAATAAGAGCCTAAACAAGCGACTTGTTTGCACAAGCTTATTTAAGCTTATTTTGCTATACCGGTAGTATTACATGAACTTTTCTCAGCTTATCCACTCATTCATCCCTGTGCTCTCATTCATTCATTCCTGCTAAGACTTGTATACAATATTAGCAGTTAAGTAGTAGATAATAGCATAGTAGCAAGTAGGTCTGGTTAATTTTGCAAAAGGTAAGCTTCTGCAAGTAAAAAATTACTTCTTAGACCATATTTGTAAAGGATAGATTGAAACAAATTGGTTCTAATGTTTGATGTTTTTTTTTTTATTACTAATACTTTTAGAATTTCTGGCTTATATTCTGAAGCCTAGAAAATGAAAACATTAACGATATAAATAATAAAATTTTGGAATAGTCTTTTTCGGAAACAATTGGAAAAAACTTAATTCTTAGCGTTATGCTAATCCAGTTATATATAGAGTAATAAAACTTTTTTTTTGGTGGTCTGAGTTGAATTGAATCAATGAGAAACTGAGTTGAATTGAATCAATGAGAAACTGAGTTGAATTGAATCAATGAGAAACTGAGTTGAATTGAATCAATGAGAAACTGAGTTGAATTGAATCAATGAGAAACTGAGTTGAATTGAATCAATGAGAAACAAAGCTGTAATTAAATAATGCTTGTAAATATATAATGTTTGTAATTTAAAAAATGCTTATATTAAAAATTTTCAGTGGGCTAAAAAAGGTACAAGCACATTGGATATTTGGCATTTAATCATGACATGGAATAAACAAAAATGAAAATTATATAAAATGCCCAAATTATTAGATGTAGCGTAGGATTTTAATTCTTAATAAAATCAAATAGTGATATTTGCTAATTACAAAACAAGACTACTGTTTCCAGCATTTGAGGATGATGATTCCACACATGAATGATGTGGCTTTGTTTTGTAATCACATATTTATAATCAATTTTTATCAGCCTCCACATTATTAAAATGTTAAACATTTCACATGTTAAAAATTTAAACTTTTAAAAGCTCTTTGAAACTTTTATCAACAAATTTAAACACAGTTTAAATTAAGATTAAGTTTTTAAGAAAATAATAAAATATAAAATAAATTTCCATAAAATAAATTTCAGTACACATTGAAAAATACAAAAATTTAGGAAAAAACCTCCATTGGCTTGTTTTTTCCCTGAATACATCTGCCCACGAGAGCCTCTTTTAATGATAACATTTTGATCATCAACATGATGTTCAGCTAAAAATATCGACAAAAAAAAAAGATTCAACCAAAAATTTCCATAATGGTGAAAGATGATAACACAAAATTAGAAAAATAATTAGATAAAAAAACCAACAAACTTTTTTTCTTGGATGAAACAGGTTCAGGTAATGGTCGGTATTCAGTTTTTGGAACACTTAGCATATATTCAGGCAATTCAATATCAGGAAGCTTGGGCATTGAAAATCTGTTTGATTTTGTCTATAAACAAAATGCAATATTCCAAATAAATATGAAAAAATTTATAAGATTAAAAAATTAAACAAAAATGTTATTACTAACATCTACCACAGATTCAGTTACTTTAGAATGAAAGTTCTTCTTTTTTTTCTGCCTATGTACTATTTCGGGTACAATTAACATCTCTTCAAATGATCGCTTTGATTTGTTTGGAGATAGATATATGTGACTTATATCCTCTTTCTGTTTTAAGGGTTCAGTTTTACCGTTAAGGAAATTATTTATTTTTTCATTTTTTAAATTTTTTTCAGTGTCTGTTGAGGAAAGGTCACTTTTAGTTTCTTTTTTGCCTTTATCCTCTTTAGTAAGCAAAGAATTAACACTATCTCTCCATTGTATGACAAGAGCCTTAGCTTGCTCTCCAATTGGCCCCTCACATTTTCTTAAACTATTTACTGTTTTTCCAATACCAGTTTCCTAAAAAAAAAAAATCAAATAATGATACAATTAAATTCTTAAATAATGTATTGATAAAATTATAATAAATAAAAATTGGAAAAAATTTATAACAAATTTAAATAATTGTACTCTAGTTAAAAGTGCACTTTTTTTTTTTACATTTTAGTTTTAGTTGTATTAACCTTATGCTTTTTAATACTCTATTAGCCCTGTTATGTTTTTCTTTGTTTGATTTAATTTTAGATGCAATAGTAATTTGTTAAGTTTTAAAATTTAGGTCATGTTTAACTATAAAGGTTATGTTTTAAATTTATTAAAACACTGCTTTAAGTTCATCTTTGCAATTTTTTTGTATATTATATTATAAACTAAAGTATGCTTTATGCTAAAATGTATTTATTTATAGCTTCCCATATAACTTATTTAAACATGCATAACCACATGATTTAGATATATACAGTTGGTCTAACCACATGATTTAGATATATACAGTTGGTTGGTCTAAAAATTTTTAATTCAATCAAAAATTTGGGTTTGTTACTACTGTTAAGTGTTGAATTTTTAGTTGAATAATACTGTTAAGTGTTGAATTTTTGGTTGAATAAATGGATAAAAAACAATTGTTTTTTATCCATTTATTCAACCAAAAATTTTATTATAACTTTACAAAATTAGGTTAGATGTTGCTTATATAGTTAAAAACTAGTCATTGGAGTGACACCTAAATAAAATTAACAAAAAAAAAAAAAAAAAAAAAAATCAACAGGAATATTAATAAATAAAAGCAAGCATAAATTAAGTTAATAAAAAAAAATAATAACGATTAAATTATAATAAATTAAATTATAAGACAAAAAATATGAAAACACTCAATTAATAACAACTGTGAATAACAATCAAAATAACTACCAACAACAGCACAAATAATAACAAACTTTATGGAAATGAAAAAGCAAACTTAATCTACAAAAAAATTAAAAAAATAATAATAATTGTTTTAAGTGTTTTAACCTTTTGACTTGGTTATAGAAGTTAGAACTTTTTGGTTTAGGTTAATAGTCAGCAACTCAAGTATTAAAATTTTTTATTAATAGTAATCATTGTTTTTGTTTAATTTAAAACAGTTATAAAAAAATCAAACAATCAACAAAAGAATGAAAAATTTGTTAACTTTAGAATTATCATTCATACTTTTTTTAAACATGATTATTGTTTTGTTATCAATCTTTAAAACCTAAGTATAAATTTTCTTATTTCTTTATTATATTTTATTCATTTTATAAATTTTATTATTTAAAACTGTTTATTTCAATTTTTAATAAATTATATAAGAATACTAATAACTACATCAACCTATATGAATATATTATAATATGAATACTAATAACTACATCAACCTATATTAACAACTCCTTATTGAAGAAAGTTACAAAAATCTTTTCATAATAAAGATTTATTAATGGAATCCATTTGTGGAAAAGTAAGAAAAAAAACATGAACATTGTTTTCTTATTCTTTCAGTTATTAATTCAATGCAAAGTGTTTTGTTTGTTGCTTTGTTTATATATTTTTTTAAACACTTCAAACTCACTTGCAAAGAACTTGACTCCAAAGATTTTTTGAAATTCAAGAGCAAGGAACCTGTGCTAACTTGCTCCTTAACAAGAAAGTGGAGTAGTCTATTTTTCAACTAAAAGTTAGTAATACGGAAGCAACAGCTTAACAATAATAATGGTAACTAATGGTAGACACAAGATGTTAAGCACTCTTAAATCAAATTTGTTATTTAATACGTATAATCTGAGTGTTTAAATCAACCTGTTAAATATCAAAATAACAAATAATACTCATATAATCTGTTTACTGTTTTTATTTATTATATAATTTAGTAATACTAAAAATAGTATTAAAAATTTTGGCACATAAATTTGTCGAATGGATACATATGAGCAGTGAATACCTGGGGGGGAAGAATGAAATGAGTAATGATAAAAAAAAATTAGTTTTCAAACAAAGCAAATTTAACTAGTTGTCTAGACAAAAATAAAGATAAATAGAAAGGCAACATTAACTATGTTAAATTAATATGACAGATATAAAACAGACAAAGCACATAGACAATATAGAATAAAACACAAAATTCTTTATTAAATAATGACAAATGTGGTTATTATCATGTGATATTAATTAATCATCATTTGTAGATAATCTATTCAATCTATGTTAAAACTTTACAATCAAGCTAATTTTAAATATAAGTCAAATTTTATTTTAATATTTAACTTTTTTAACCAAATTCATTTATTAAAAATGTGAGAAAGTGAATAGAAATATTTTAATCTGTATTTATATCTTTAGTGACACAGCCAACAGAACAAAGATTCAATAACGTATTAGTATGATTTTTTATTTTAGTGTAGTGGTTAGTGTATGTTTTTGTTATGCAGTTTATAGTTAGTTATGTAGTTTTTTGAATGAATCTTGTTTGTTAGTTAATGAACTGTTGAGAAGTAAGAAGGTTATATGGGGTTTTTTACAGCCCCAGCTCCGGCTAAACAATAATTCTAACAGGGGTTATTAGCCAGGGCTAGGATATTTTATTATATATATGTATATACATATATGTGTATATATTATGTGTGTGCATGTGTTTATATATATATATATATATATATATATATATATATATATATATATATATATATATATATATATATATATATATATATATATATATATATATCTATGTATGTATGTATGTATGTATGTATGTATGTATGTATGTATGTATGTATGTATGTATGTATGTATGTATGTATGTATGTATGTATGTATGTATGTATGTATAAACGCATGCACACACATATATATAGTGTAACGAGGGGCAAAATGAGACACTTAAGCGCTAATATATCTAATACGGCCCGTCTGGTTAGTGTATGTTTTTGTTATGCAGTTTATAGTTAGTTATGTAGTTTTTTGAATGAATTGAACAACTTTTGAAAAAATAAATTGATATTTTTCAATTCTTCTACAATCCTTCTTGAAGCCTAAAAAGTATGAGTTGCAAAACTGCAGTAGTTTGGTCACCAGAGATCATTTATTGACAGCACCTATCCTGTCTCATTTTGCCCCGCATACCGGGGCAAAATGAGACAGATTTTTTTTTTAGTAATTTAAATAAATAAAGTTAAAAAAAACATATCTTTAAGAGGATTAGCAAGAAATACATTTTATAATATATTACAGCTATAATCAATTACTAGTCACATAAATCACATATTGCTTAACCAGTATTTTGAAACAAACAACAGTCCGAATGAGCCCAGGTTGTGCATTTTGGAAATTGACTCCACTTATATATATATATATATATATATATATATATATATATATATATATATATATATATATATCCACTACAAGAACTAATAAAACCATACATGCATATATTAAACTTATGTATTTAAAGCACGCATAACATTCATTGTATTTTGTTTATAGGTACTGCAATAACCTATATGTTATAATCTACTCACTATATATTTTATATACTACTTACTTTATTACATTACAATACAATAAGATTATAAAATACAAACATAGTAATTATAAACATCAGGCAATTATTTGCTTCAATTTGATTAAATATTTATTATATTTAAATATAAGTTAACAAAATATAAACTGTAATTCTATATTGGATAACAACTAAACATTTCAATTAACAAAATAAAAAGTAAGTAAATACAGTATAATAAATTTAAATCTACAGCATGTAAATATTAATATTTGCTTTGGTTGTTGTTTTAATGTAAAAAATTAAATAAACATAATGTTAGATATTGGCAAAAAAAAATACAAACAGAATGTCTCGTTTTGCCCCGCATCATGTTGGCATCGAATAGCCTAATTTCCAGACTATTTTATTGAAGAAATAAAATATCAAAGAATGGAAATGAAAGGAAAAGGCCTAAAGATTCTAATTAAAAAAAAACTTTAAATATAAAAAGCTTTTCCACTCAGTGAGATCAAAAAAGGGTAGGAAAAAATATAATAACAACTCTTAAAAATTCGTAATTTTCGCGAAGCCGAGGGATGAAATGACTCCCCTTTTACTCAACTTTTTTATTTCAAAGTGACTCAATATATTTTTCTTGACACAAAATAGTTTTTGAACACAACTGCACTTTTAAAAATTATGCAAATAATAATTTGTAGGGCTGGCATTATGTTAAACGCAAACCGTCTCGTATTGCCCCTCTGTCTCATTTTGCCCCGCATTACCCTACACATATATGTATATAACCCTCGGAATTAAAAACCTCATCTTTTAGAGTTCGGCATCAAGTTGGCAAAAAAAACTTGATACAAAAGTCTAAAGGTGAGTTTCCACTCATCCGTTTTTTCACAGGAACGGAATAAGAAAGGGAAAAATAATCACGTGAGCATGCGTAGTTTTCCTTCGGACATATTAAAACTTATACTACGCATGCCTACGTGATTGTTTTTCCCGTCTCTTTCCTGTTCCTGTGAAAAAACGGATGTGTGGAATCTCGCCTTTATGATAAAACATAGAAATGAGGTCAGTAATTTTTTGCCAACCTCAAAGACCTTCAGGTTGGCAGTTAAGTCAGCATTGCCGAATGCCAACCCTAATTCCAAAGGCTGTATATATATAATCTATTACTCTATGATATATGTATTACACTAACTATATACATTTTTGATTATTCTATGACGTAGGTTTTCACATCTTTTATGTTTTCTTTTGTTTGACTAACGAATAAAATTAATGTTTGTTTTCACTATATATTAAATAGTTTTTTTTATTTAACAGTTTTATATTTGAAAATGATTATTGTATAATCAGAACATGCTGTTGAAACAGAAAAAAATTGTTATATTTATTAGATTTGCCCTGGCCCGGCCCCAGTCAAATATCTGCCCCGGTCACTTCATATTGAGAAGTTACATTTTAATTGCATGTTTTTATAGAATTTACAGTTTGTATATAAATTTGATATTGTATGTAAATTCATTTATAGCTAATTTAGTAATAAATATTTAGAAAATCTAATCTATTTAATTTAGACATACAATCCTTTAATTAATTTAGATATATAATTAGTATAACATATAACAATTATTGGGTGTTTAACTTATTTATTTATTTATAACAAATGATAAATTTTATCTTATTCAAAATATTTTCCATTATCAGCTATGACTTTCAACAATTGTTAGCAATAACTTTTGACCATCTTTCAGACAATTTATGGATTTTATACAAAAAACAATTGTCCGGCTTCTGACGCAATCTATTTTTGAAGTCATCTTTTGATTTTTTTATAGTTTTTCGAAGTATCAAAATGGCAGGATGAGATACAAAAAACATAAAAAAAAATCTAAATACATACACCAACTCAAAGTTTGGCCGTAAGCATTTATGCATAAAGAATTTTTTTTTTTTTAAATTGTTTGTAATTAATTATTCTCACTCTTCTTCCTATAAATCTTCTTTGTCTAAAATTAAAGTCTGATTGACATTATGTGATTGACATCAATCACATTTCTAAACAACAAAAAATTGTTCAAAAACAACAAACATGGTAATTTTTAAAATGGCACAGGTTTTATTTTTCAAATAAGGGTTTAGGTTTGGTCAATCAGTATCTACATTTGAAAGACAATAACTACATTTGAAAAAAAATTTTTTGGTAAAATATCAGTAATTTTCTCATCACTAAAAGCATTTAAATATGCTTTCATTCATAACTAATTAATAGCATTTTATTGTAAACAAAAGAGTTAAATTTTAAAGTTATTTCGAAACAAACTAAATAAGAAAATTATAACTACTATGATGTTTAATAATTATATATTTTAAAAGAGACACATAAAAATATAATTCCTATACCCTCAACACATTTACATCGACTGGAATTTCACCTAGCTTTTTTAATATCTTCAGCTTCTAGAATAAAAATAAAAATAAATTTTAGCATGCGATGTTAATTAACTAAAATTTAGAAATTAAAGTTTAGAAGTTTGAAAATTAGAAATTTATAAGTAAAAAGTCTTTTTATGTTATTATAATAGTATTACAATAATAATAATAATAATAATAATAAAAGTTTATTTATTTATTTACTTTTTAATAAAATATTTATTTAGATGCTTAACATTTGCATTATTTGTCTGATGATTCCAAATTCACTATAAATTTACATATGACAACTTTAATAAAAAAAGCAAAAATTAAAAATAATAAACTTAAATTAATTCAAAAAAATGTAAAACATTTAGATGTAAAACATTTAAAATATAATAATGTTGAGATACAGAACATTTAAAATATAACAATATTGAGATGTAAAACAATTGAACTGTATGATTGATGTTTTTTAGATTTTTTCATAAAAATTACTCTCAATCTTATAAACAACAATCTGAAAAGCTTTTTTTCAATAACTTTGAATCTCAAATTGTGCAAACTTTTGTAATTGCAATTATTAAGATATAACTCATCTTCCATGCCACCCTATTCCACCAAAAAACATTCATTTTAATTAAGAGTGCAGTGATAAAAAGGGAGATTTGATCGAGTTTAAATCTTTTTATAATTTAAGAAAAATGATTAGATAAAGAAAGGATCTTTATTGAATTTGACCCAGATCAAAATCAATCTAAATTTTTATGGATTTTGCACTTTCTTGGTCATCATATGAGCCATTTATTTTAAAAGTGGCATAAGTCACCTTTTTAAAAAAATTAAGTTATTGTCTTCATTTGTGAAATAATTTAAACCAATTGCATTGAAAATTATTGAGATAATTTGGAGAGTTTAGCTAGTCAACACTATAACAAACATGTTAAAATACAAACCTTTAAAAAATCTCTGTTTTCAAAATAAAGTGAGTTATCCCACTTTCAAAATAAACGACTCATATATGTTAGTCATTATCACAGAGCATTCATCAATACAATATTTATGTGAACATTATTTGTGGCTATAAGTAACATCAACACAAAAATTTAACTTACATTTGTTAGATTTTTTTTTCTTAATATTTTTAATTAAAAAAAATATAATAAGCAGAAAAAATTGTTTCTGTTTTAACAAAAAGTTTCTTTAACTGATCCAAGTATGTTTTATACATAAACAAAATTTATAGGTGCATAAGTATTTTAAGAATGTATCACATGCATACTTAACATGCCATTTTGAAAATAAAAAACCTTAATTAGTATTTCTAATTTTACTTAAATACACTAATTATAAATTTATAATGTCTTCTGTTTGATTTAATTATTACTTTTGTTCAATCTCAATTTAGGGTTTACCTTTGAAATAAAAATTGTGTTACTTTTTTTACCTCTGCAAGCTGACCAATTTCTTGTTGTTGTTACTTACGTGTACTTAGAGTAAACACTCAAAATTATGCATTACAAGTTATATAGAATATATAAATTATAATGCATAATTTTAATTAATACCACAATAACATAATATAAGAACAAAAAACTCAGAAAGTTCTGCGCATGTAGAAATAGTTATAAAAAAATGTGTATTGACAGAGTTTTAAGGTTTAGGATTTTATCTTACTCTCTTATTGGAAATAATAAAAAATTAAAAAAAAGCTTTTTTTAGAGTAAACGTTAACTCTCCTTTTTAAACTTTTTACATTAGTAAAAAATGACAGAGGAATGTTGATTGGGAGAAGTTTTGAATAATAATTGTGACAAAATGCATTATTGTAGAACGACAGAAAGAATAAAGCTATATAGTATTGTAAACACTGATGTTGAAGTTCTAATTCAAAGGATAGGATAAACTTTGAATCATTAATTCTTCCTGTCATTAAGAGCAACTTAATATCATCTGTAAACATTAAGCTGTTTGCAGATGATATTAAGTTGTATCAATCAAGAAATGATTACAGCAACATCTTGTAAAACCTTTTAAAAAATCTTAGAACGATCCAATGATTGGCAACTAAAACTATCAGCCAACAAATGTTTTCATTTATGCTACAGAAGATATAATATACCTACTCATCCTTGATCATTAAACTCCATTACAAATATTGAAACTGTTTAATCAATTCAGGATATTGGAATCACCATATCCTTTGATACAAAGTTATCTAATCACTGCTCTTGTTGTATGCAGCCTGTGTGTTGTTTGCGGCCTGTGTATTGTATGCGGCCTGCATTAGAATCTTGCACCCCAGTTTGGAGTCCTCCTCTTTTAAAAGATAAATTGCATGAAAAAATTTCAAAAATATTTTACCAGAATTGTCTGGAAAATATGTCATATTACATACACTGATTGCTTATAAAGACTTATTGTCTTCCGACTTGAATCTTTTGTAAATTGCAGAGTTAAATTTGATCTTTATAAGATTTATAAAATTGCGCATAATCTTGTTGCTTTACTTTTTTCAGATTTTCCAACACTTTTTTTACTTTTTCCACAAAGTCACAGGCTTTCACAGGAAGACGTGCGATTTCACGGATTTATATGACCACGCAAGCTACATTTTGCTATGACGGTTTGACCGCGGCTAATTCAAAAAACATTTTAGAAACGCGCTAAAAAATATTCTAAAAAATTAGAATTATTTACATCAAAACTTCTTAAAGAATGTTTTTATATTAGCGAAACGATTTTAAATAAGGTAACAATTTACTGAAAAAAAGTTTTGCTTTTTAAATATAATTGACAGTTGTATATATTTTTTTAATTTAAAACATATAAATTGTTTAAGTGTTCATTTCTAAAATAAATCTTATTAAAAAATAAAAAATTGTTTTGTTTTTATAAACGATGACATTCTACGACTACGAAAGTCTCTTTAATGAATTTAAATATAAGAATGATTAAAGTTAATGCATTTAAAAAGATAAAAAAAATTTCGTTTAAAAAAAAAGTTTTAGAAAACCGTTACAATTTAATGAGTTTGATCTTAAATGCTTTTATATTATCGAAACGCTTTTAATGAAGTAAAAAAAAAACGCTTCTAATTAATTTTAAAAAAAGTATTTATAAAATGTTTTTTTATTTCATTTATATAACTATGTATTTTTTTAACTTTTGAACATATTAAACAAATAAAAAATATATAAAAATGTTGAAACGAGGATTGAAAAGGTTTTTTAATGCGTAAATAAAATAGACTAAGCATTTTAGTTTGATGAGTTTTGTTTTAGTTGCGTTATATAAATATATTTATTTTTTTGCGTTTTTGCTTTAACTAAGTATTTTTTTTATTTTTCCTTTGTTAATATTTATTATTTTTTTAAATTTTTTTTCAGATAGATTTAGGTAAGTTTTTGTAGCGCGTTTTTAAATTTTAAAAATACGCCGTGGTCAAATCGTTAAAACATTTTTTTTTTGCGTGGTCATATAAAGACATGAAATCGCATGTCTTCCTGTGAAAGCCTGAAGTCATTCACAAAAGTTTACTCTGTGTAATAAACAATAATTCTTTCTCCAGTGAAAAAATCATTAAAGTATGGAACTCACTTTCAGACCATTTAGAGAACTCGCCTTCATTGTCTGCATTTAAATCAAATTTTAAAAAGTATGATTTAAAATGTCATTGTCCAGTCTTCTAACTTGGTTTCTTCACAATTACTCTTATTAAAGTTTTTTTTATTACTTTATTACTATTTTTGTGTTGATGTTACATAAGAGCAATTTAGTAATTACTTTTCTCACCATTTTATATTTGTACAATTTTCAAATACAAATAATTAAATAAATAATAAATAATAATAAAATAAATAATTATACAATAAAATATTTTATTACAATGTTCATTCAAAACATTCTCTACACTACGTTTCCCTGTCATTTTTTACTATTCTAAAAAATTTTAAAAGGAGAGTTAAACATGCTAAATTATAATCTAAAAAAATCTTTTTCCAGTAATAAAGTGCTCAGTGTAGTTAAGGCACTTTTAAAATATTATAGGGTCTGTATGACATTTTGTTGACTACGACATATTTCTGTTAAATGGTCTGGTCTGTGAATTATGAAAAGACGAAAAATATTAAAATGATAAATTTTGTGTAATCATAAAATACATATGTTTGTAGCAAAAAAACCCAGACCGAAGATTCTTTTTTCTTTGTAATTATCTTAAAATCACAATCGCTCGTCCAAATTTGAATAAGATTTAATATTAATACGTTTTTTAGGTGAAATGAACATTATAGTTTAACAATATCATCTGTTCTGATCGTTTATTGGCAATTTTCTATAACTATAAGCTCTTTCTTAATCTGAATTCTTTATTTTTTGTGAAAATTCAATATTGTGTTTTGACAACTATATATACTTAATATACGTCAGAACCAATTAGAACTAGGATCAGTAGTATATTAAAGAACTTTTTCAAAAGATTTTAACTAAATTCATGTTAATGTCGATGAGCAGAATTGATCTAAACACTCCAAAATAGTGTTCATTAGATTCACTATTACGGGTAGTAAAAAGGTTTTAAAAATTATATAAAAAAAGAAAAGTTTTTTTAAACATTATAAAAACCTAAAGCAAAAAAAAACTATAACATTTAAAGATCTTGTTTGGACATAATATGCTAACAAAACCATGCTCATTCCAAATAAAAGTATTTGAATATTTTGTAAATCACCTTAACTACACCAAATGAGTAAAATAAAATCTTAAATATAAATGTGCTCAAATGAGGAGATATGCTTTCACCATGAAAAAGCCTTATTTCTAAGTACGAAGAACTTCACAAAAATACTGTTGTGATCTGTTTAAAGTCTAAATAAAAAATTATTAGGGATTTTGCTGAGTCAATATTTTAACAGCAAGTCATCTTAAGATCAAACCTGGTCAAAAACTTTGCATTAACTTGAACAGATTACAGAAAACATTAGTCAAGATAAAGTTGATGATGAATAAATTTATAGTTGTTCAGACCTTGATAAGACAGTTTT